ATAAATAAAATCCTTTAAAATATTTATTATCTGCACCATCACAGAAAAGTTCATGGAACCCTAGAACATGATCAATTTTTGTCAATGTTCTGCGTGTGTTGAGAAAAATGTACGTTCTCTAGTTCGTGGATTCAGAATGTATGCATATCCAATCGGTCAAGCTTGTTGTGTCAATCAGGTCATCTATATCTTCGCTGATTTGTGTTTTTGTTGAAACTTCCCAGTATATCAATGAATCTATCTAATTTCCCTTTCAGTTATATCAGTTTTCTTCATATACTTTGAGGCTGTTATTAGTAGGTGCACACATAGTTAAGTTTCCTCATAAACCACACCTTTTATCATGATGTGGTTGCTGATTCTCTATAAACCAAATATTGCCTTCTGTCATTTTGAAGCCTATTTTAGCTACTTCAGCTTTCTTTATTCCTTGCCATTTGCCCAAAATATCTTTCCCATCCTTTTACTTTAAACTTGCACATTTAAATTTTAGGTGTGGTTCTTAACAGCATACAGCTATGTTTTTAAAAATATAATCTGTCAAGCTTTATCTATTCACTTGTGAATTTAGCCCATTTATATTTATTCTAATTATTGTTGTATTTAGTCCTGTTTTGTATTACCATAAGTTATACTTTCTCACTTTATGTTGCCTTTTCTTTTCCATCTTTTCTAACAAAAACAAACAAAAAAAACCCCTGGTACTTATAGTGCTCACCATTGTTTATACTTAAAAATGTTCAACTTTACTTTAAAATTTGTCACATTACTTGGATACATCAAATAAAAATAAAATAAATGAACACACATCAAAGGGACATGAACTTTGTGCTGGTTCCCCAGCAGGGGTTGTGAGTTTACACTGAGTGATCAGCAACGTCTCCATTGTGACAATGGCAGTGATTTGTGAGAGCTCTTGAACTGCTAGCTGGTTTCAAGTTACTGAAAAAAGGTTCATTAGGTAAATTCAAAATCTTGGTTTTGCCCACTTACGTTTTGACCAATTACACTATCTAGTTTTTCTTAAGAACTTACAACATGTTTTAGAGACATGTTTTCTTACAAACTGAAGACACATTAATTCTGCAATAAAATTTGAAAGTTTTCATTTTGCAAAAACAATGCTCTTATTTACATGTATTTTAACTCATTTACCTTGGACAATACTTGTACTAAAAGGAAAATCATCTTAGTAATGTGCTGAAACATATAGTCAGTGAAAAGAATGTTGTCCAAGACACAACCAATCTTACACTCACAAAAAATTCTAACATAGGATGTTTACACGAACTAATTTGATTTATTAAATCAGGTCAGCACAGGGTGATACGAATGTATCACAACTGGAAAAACAAAAACGGAAGCTCAGTGCCAAATGCTGTAAAGGAGGCAGGGAGCGCCCTCGGACAGGGGTCCGCCGGAGCTGAGCAGCAGCCTGAGGCAGCTTTTTATCAGACCGCCCTTGGGACTAACACTGTAAACATGCATGCACTGTTCCAGACTCAATTTTGAACTAAAGGACTCAATATGTCCTAAAAAGGAAATTGTTCAAGTGGGACTTAGTTTTTGCCAGATGTTCAATTACTTTGTCTCAACGAAAGGAATGCTATATAATAAGGATCTCCTGTCATTTCTTCTAAAAAGTATTATTTTTCTCTAAGCAGATCTCAAGGACATTCCTGTTTCAAGTCGTAAAACTGTCTCTCTTCCTACTACACACTGTTTCGGGTGTACAAAGTCACTGCGTCTTCAACCAGTTGATTCATCACCAACAGAATGGGATGTTCTTTACTCAAATTAAGATCTGACTTCAACACAATTGAAACTACATAAAAAAATATGATTCAGATCACAAGATACAGTGATTACTTCGGTAGGACTCGCAGGCACAGGCATCTGTGAGATTCTAGGTGCTTCCAGGTGTTCTGTGGTCCAGGTAAGCTAATTTACTTCCGGGTCTGAATTCATCCTTCCTTTCTTCTCTCTAGCATGCCTGTTTGCACCAAACTCTAAATGACAAGCAAAGCTGCGGAATACGGAGGTGGCAGAGACCACACAGCTGCTGCAGAGGTGACAGAAGGTTCCGTCCTCAAACAGGCTGCCAGTCGGGGGGAAACGACGTGGTGATGGCTCTTCTTGGCTGCTGAGGCCGGCCTCCAGCAGTTCTGAAGCCTGAGCTCTTTCGTGTGATGTTGAACTTGAACAGCCAGCCAGCCAGATGTGTCTACTTGGGGACAACAAAGAACTGCAATTCCTGACATGCAGTCTAGGGGTGAACCACGCACAGGTCTGGAGAAACCAAGGAGAGGAAGGCAGCTCTTTTATGGACTCTGGAGTGGGGTGAGGCTGTTGTAAACTAAGATTCCACTGGAGGAAACTAGAAGTTCCAAGTGTTGTGACTTCTTATGGGCTGAGCTATGACCACCTCCCATTGGCTGAGCTGTTCCTGGGCCAGGAGGACCCTTCCCTTCCTCCTGCTGACGTAGCCAGGCAAGATCACTTCCTGTCGGAGATGCAGCTCTCTTCCGGTGGGGTCAGCCCTGTGCATTAAGTGAGCTTTGCGTGAAAGTTCTTTCAACCTCTCAACTCCATTTTAAGTGAAGTTTCTGCTGATTAATTTTCACACTTCTCCCTTTTGATCAAGGTCTTTCTCCAAAAGCATTGCTGATCAAGAGTGAGGTTTCTCCAGATTCAGTGGCCTTTTGTCCCTTGATGCCAGAAAGCACCTTTCCTGGGCGTTATGTCGCATGTCAGAGGGAAAGCGCACAGACTGGCACCCTACCGTGGTCACGTCTGAGAAACAAGGAGGGGCGGGAGGGAGATCTCTCAGGCATCTCCCACCTAAAGCCTGTATCTTAGAATATGGAATATGTCAAACGTACACTCAGAACTGAAAGAATTAAATAAGACTTTGGGAAGTCACAATACAGGAATAAAAACATAAGCCAATTAAACAGTATTATTAGCTCAAAAAAAAGTTTGGAACAATACGTCTTATCAATATACCATGAATACACGCATTTCTAATAGAGCTAATGGAGAGAACAGTTTCTTGTTGGGGAACAAGACAGTGTGTGTGTGATCAAGTGTTTTGGACTGAAACCTGGGTTCAAATTCTGGCTTTAGCAAGTTACCGAGCCTCCCTGACCTGTGTTCTGGCCCCCACTAACTGAGGATAAACAACGGCTCCTGAAAAGGGTGCCTGTGGAGGCCGAGAGATGACACATGAGAGAGCCAGGCCCTGAGCTGGCACCCCCAGCTCCCCTTCACTTTATTTCTCTGGGTAACACTTTAAAGACTTCTTGCCTTCCCACTGAAAACACGTCTCACCACCACGCCTTTCTAGGGAAAAGAGCTCGTCCACCTTTTGGTGGACAGCATTAGGGTACTTTAGAGACACTTCTGAGCAAATTCAGGTAAGTCCCCACCCTCCCTGCAGAAAGCCATGAAGAGGCGCTGCCCCAAGACCCGAAGCTGGTCTTCGGCGACGACACTGTGGCTACTGTCCTAGGGCAGGCAGGGTCTGTGCGTGGGGGCTGTGAGGTAGCAGTGCCTCGCAGCTCTGCAGACACTCTAAGGACTCTCGGGGGCTCTCACCTGCGGAAGTGCTATAAGCACTTTCCATTTTCAGTCTTATTCAGTTCTAGTGATCCCCTGAGGCAGGTTCCATCAGAATCCCTATGTTGCAGATGAGGAAACTGAGGCACAGAGACGTACATTCCACTAACAAGTCATCGAGTGGGATTCTCGACCTGTGTGGTCTGACTCCAGGGCTCACGCTCTTGACCACCCCCTCCCCCCGTGACAGGAACGTCTCACGGCCACGAAGATTTCCACGTCTGCGGCTCCACGCCGAAGGCTCATCAGTCGTCCCAGGGTGGGTTCCACCTCTTCCTTCTCCACTCTACGGAGGTACCCGGGAAACTGACACGACCTTCTCAGAGTCAGTCAAAATCAGTACATTTACCCTACCAAGTAAACTCTCAGAAAAAGAAAATTCTAGTTTTGCCCAGAGGTAGGCTTGTCTTCTGTGATGAAGAACCTCAGATCTTATAAAGATCCTCAGTCTGCTCATAATAACTGCTAATGACATCTTCCCTCCTTGCAATTTTATGTCACCTCACTGATCTCTATCTTTCAAACTTGGGGGGCTCGTAGCTTATGTAAGCACCAGAGCGGACAGAAGAGGGCGAGAACCCTTCTTTCCCCAGAAACAGATCAAGGCTGCCCCAGGGAAGCCATCCCAGGAGAGGAGAACAGTCTAAGAAACCCCTCATCGATAAAGGTCCCTGCGGACTCCGTGCTGAAGCCCTAGTCGGCTTAACTCTATGGGCCGGGACTTGAGTCCGTAAGCACGGGAGGGGCTCCCTGCGGCCCACCCTCGCGTGGGAGGACAGCGGAGCCGCCCCAGCAGCCACGAGACCCCGGGGCGCCGGCTCTCAGAACGGCACCGCTCGGCGGGGCGTCTCTGGAGCAGCTGCCTTCCTCCGAGCCAGACAAACGCCCGCCACTGGAAAGGAAGAGCTGAGGGAGGACCACAGGCGCCTGCTAACTGAAACCCGACAGAAGGAGCGTTAAACCCCCGGCGTGGAGAGCGGGCTGGGAGCAACAGCCGTGGGGCGCCCCTGCGAGAGGGCCGTGCCGACTGCAACACGGGGAAAGCGCCCCATGGAAGGGGCGCAGAGTGATGTGTCGGGGCGCTGCAGGGGGTCCGGGTTTAACGAGCAATCGCAGCTCTGAGTGTAAAACTTGTTTCACAGATTTAATTAAAGCTTTAAAACTTGCAGCGGCCCCGCCACAGCAGCACAGGTGAGGAGAAGGGGGTCTGATCTCTCTCTCTGTACAGCGATCTACTCACGAAGCACGGAAAGCGGGGCTCCAGGTTCATTCATTTCTACTCCACCTACTTCTGGAAAGAGCGCTCGTTCGCCTGGAGCCCGAGGTCTGTGCAGCCCGCCCCCCCCGCAGACTGGCCCCGGAGGAGGCTGCGGCCCACTCACCTGAGCCCCTCGGTCATTGACCAGTTCCACAGACCACCTTCCTTCGTACTGAATCCACACAAATATCCCTCCGTCCGCGTCACACGTGGCCAGCTTCTGGTATGGCTCGTTCCACCTCACCAGCACCACCTGCAAACAGCCAAGAAGACGGTTACCACTGGAAGCGAGCCGGCGGGCCGGGACTGCGCCCACGGAGAGATCAAACCTCAGAACGAAACAGAATGCACGGTCGAGAGCAAAGCCCGGGGGAGGGTGTGGCGCTCGGTGCAGGGGACGGGGCACAACCCACACACCCACACACACACACACACACACACACACACGGCAGCATTGCAGGGAACCAGACCCACGGAAAGGCTTCCTGGCAAGAGCGGACGGACACCTGAGCCGACGGTGAAGGTGAAGTGCAGCACGAGCGCGCCCATCACCGTCAAACCAGAGGCCGCGCGGTGGGCTGAGCCTGGCCTTGCCTCTCTCAAGTGCAAGGATCTCTCATCTGCCAGTCCCGTGTGATGGCACAATCACAAAGATTCACAAAATCTATTGTGTATTTGACTTGAATCAGAGTATTGGCTATTTAGTACAGAAAGAAGAAAGGATGAGGCCTATTTAATTTCATTTTCCTTCCAACGTGAAATTTTCCTTATCTTTTCTAGACCGTTATTTTCAAACAGTTCACCATCTAAAACATGGCCCATTTGGAAAGCATACACAATCTAAGTGTAGAATTTACCACAGAGGAAATAGGAAGAAATGACAAGTTTCAAAACGCTAGAGTATAAAAACTTAATTTTTAAAATGGAAAAATCCTGAATCTGGACAATAACTTTCATCTTTCTTAACCACCGCTCCCCCATCTAAAAGGCAGGCCCTCCGGTAAGGTGGTCTGCGGGTTGGGTAAATGCCTGACGACAGCCCCCGGAGGGCCCAGGCACACCCCCGCGGGCACAGGACTCTGCAGGGAGCGCAGGAGCCCCGAAACCAACCCCCCCGAGTTCACTGCGGTGCGCATTCCCTGACTGTCACCCGACTGGCCCACACTGGTGATCACGCTGAATGACGTAAGTCCTTCAGTCAGACACTGAGCTCACACTTAGGTTTGCCCTGTGACCAACGCAGAACTGGAGAAGACCCAGTGCTGCTCTCGGGAGAAGCCCAGCTGGGAGCCAGAACACCCACAGATACGTGGACACACACTGACACGTGTCTGTCGAACTCGGACCGTCATTAAGCAGCAAGAGCACGCCTAACATTCGTAAGAAACCTTTGAACCCCATCTCCTCCCAGGGCTTTGTGCCCAATGAACTAAAAACTGTCGTGAACATGTGGCACTGTGTCAACGGTCCCCCTTCTAACTTACACAGCTGGCCCTTGAACAATGAGGGGGCTGGGAGCACCGACCCCACGCGCAGTCAAAACTCCACCCATACCTTCTGACTTCCCCCAAACCATTCCTGGGCTGCTATAAGTGCCAAAATCCATGGACGCCCAAGGCCCCCATGTAAAATGGCATAGATCAATGCATACAATTGGCCATCTGTGTCTGTGGTTGGTGGAATCCATGGATGCAAAACCTGGGAGATGCTGAGGGCTGACTGCATACGGGTATTTATTGGAAAAAAACGCACCTACAAGTGGACCCACACAGTTCAAACCTGTGTTGTTCCAGGGTCAACTGCACAGTGACAGACTGTCAAGGACCCACAATGACCGGACCCACAATGACCAGACCCCTCCTGACACCTGTGTGTGTCCAAAACACAGACCAACACAGAATCCAGCCATCTCTCAAAGTTGTGCCACGAGCACCATGATTTCAGGTCTTCATGTTTGTTTTCAAGGCACCAGAGTGCTAGGAGTGGTCCCCAGCCTTGGTCCGCCACACTCGGTGGTATTGGTATTAGTTGTAAGATGCATAATAAAACCCTCAAATTTTCTGAGCGGGAATGCTTACCCACTTAAAATGTAAGAATACTGTAGCTGTTCTGTAAAATTCTGCAAAAGTCAGAGAGCTGTGAGGTTGCAATTCTGAGACACGGCAGTCACCGGTCAAATCTAACCTAGCCCATGGCTCCCACGCCAAAGGCGACCTCCACAGAGGCGGACACCGACACCTGTCGGCACCCCGTCCAGCCGCCCCTCTGCCGAGAGTGCTGCCTCGCTCGGTCCCAGCTCTGCACACGAAGTGCTCACCCCCCGAGCCACCCCCCGAGTGGGCGGTAACTGTGGCTGCACGCCCCCTCCCTGCTGAGCTGTGCTGCGTGAGGAAAGGGACAGAGTCACGATCATCACTGAACACCGACACGCGGTGATTTGGATATACGGTGCCAGAGCAATACATACTCAGAAGTCATGATCCTGATTCAGTAGTATCTTTGCATTATAAAACGTTAAGAACTATTACTTCAAGCATGTTATTTTCAACTCTTAACGTCTTTTTAACAACAGCTAATACTGCCGGCCTGCCTGTTACAGAGCGTTAGGCGCTCAGACACACTGTCCTTGAGGAGCTCGGTCCACCAAACGGACAGGATCTCGTGCTCATCTGCGGTGAGAGCTGTGAACACACCCAGGAGGGCCCCCGACAGAGGTGGGCGGCGGGCCACAGATCCACATTCACTTTTCTAAGTCTAGTTTTTAAAATTCTCTAAATAACTGATCTAATTTTAAAAAATGGTAGAACCAACACAGCAACAAAAGCCTTCAAATGCAGTGAATGTGTCATCTTTATTATAAAGTTCTTTCGGACCCAGCGAAGACCTGGCCGTGCGATCCATGCAAGTGTGTGCTGCTACCTTCGGTCCCCAGAGCCACAGGCCCAGCATGCACGCCCACAATCACCAACGGCCTCCAGGACAACTGCCATAGGGTGGGACACGGCAAATAACGTGGCACTTCTTCTCGTCAGTTCTGAACTTTCTTAACACAGCGACCACTCACCTACCATGACCTTCCTTAGAAAACAGTCCTCGGTGGAGAGGCGTCATATCTGAGAGAGCAGAGGCTAGTCACCTTTCCCATGCTTTTGCCCTGTTGCTTTAACATCTAGGTGGGGTCGCATATTTCGTTCACATGAATAATCGAACCCCTCTTCCTCATGAAAACAGCCCTACAATCACGGCACGACCAACATGAAAGAGCAGAGGCAAGAACTATTTGAAAGTTATTTCTAACGCCAGAGACTTCTTGGTCTTATGAGAACACAGGGGTAGCTGTAGGGCAAACCAAAAGTTCACAGACTCAGTGCATCCTTTGGTAATTCCTGACCAGCTGAGATGCAGCTTTAAATGGAAACGCAGTCCCCAGGCACACTGCTTCGCTGTGAGTTCTAATGAGTAAAACGAAATAAGTGGGCAGTCCCCCTACATTAGGGCAAAAAAATCTTTCCAACAATTCTGGGTTTAAAAATAAAGTCAAGCTGCTGATGTCGTTTCCCTGGGTCAGTCTTCTCATTTCCTCTCTCCCCCGCAGCTTGCGGCTGCCCGCTGCTTCTCCCGGCAGCCTCTTTCCCCTTCTTCGGACCCTTCCCGTCTACTTGGCGACATCACGGCATGCCAGAGTGCTGAGGAGTCACCAACTAGCGGGCCAGCGGGGCTCTGGGTCGCCCAAATGATGTGGCAGAATGCAGGGTGCCCAGGCACCCTAAGGCAGAACGCTCCTTCCCTTTTAAAGGAGAGTGGGGTCTGGGTTGCACTGGGCACGGAAATGCTTAGGCTGTTGGCTGAAAGGCATCGTCTTCTTCTACTAAAAGGACAGAGGATGGACGAGCTAGGTTTTGACCTAGGTCTTTGATTGTTTAAAAAAAAAATAATGCCAGCCTGTTGCTTTCTCTAATGTAAGATATTCTAGCCTTTTACAGGTATTGTTATAAATAAATATTGAGGACTATTAAAAGTGGAGAAATCTACACTAAAAACATAGGGCAGGTCTGCTGAAAGCCTAACTGGGCTGTGAGCTAATGCCCTAAATAAGTCACGGCATTTCCGACACCTAAAACTAGGTTCAGGGAGAACAAAGCTGTGTCAGTTAACCCAACTCAAGGACGTTCATCGTTTTAGGAAAGAACCCTTCAAATGGTGTAGATAAATATGACTATCATTTATATTATATAGAAATACATGGGAAACCACCTCAGTGAACGGCCAGTATTATCAATATTCAGAAATATTTCCCTCAACCAGAAAAGAATGTAATTCGAACGAATGTTAAATACAAACTGTTCAAGTAGTAAATCCCTGTAAACAATTATTACCACTTGGTTCTTCTTATTCTGTAATTTATTAAGTGAAACAGCAGTAAGTTCAACTGTTCAAGAAAAACAAAATGAGTGCCAGTTTATTTTTGGGTACATTAGGTCATTTAAACAAAGAACCAAGAGCATCTTGAACCAGAGGCCGGGAGAAGTTCACGGGGAACAGTGGTTTCCGACCCAGCGCACCAGCAGGAAGGTCCCGGGACGCGGCGTGGCTTCGGGCAGCAGTGGACCTACTCGGCGCCCCTCTCCAGGCGGCCAGGGCTGGGGACCGCCAGCGCGCCCTTCCGGAGCTGTGAGGAGTGCGAGACAGGACCCTAGACCAGCGCCGGGCGCACAGCATCTGCTCCGCTGGTGAGAGTTCTGTATTTACCCGTGAGCCAAGACTCCCAGGGCCCAATTCTGGTTCAGCACAGGACCTGCATCTACAGTTTCTTCTTCTGATAAATGATCGGAAAGACAGTCCTTCTTTCCAGACCCGCATTCTGTCTCTTGCACTTCCCACCCGATTCTGTACCTTAAAAACCGACACCCCCATACACTGCCTGCCACCTTTGGCCCGGAACACCTCTCTGGCCCTTGGCACGTGGTAGTGAAGGCTTTGCTGATGGTCACGTAACAGGTTCAAGATGAGTCAGGGCACAAGCCAGAGACCCAGTCCCCTGCTCCTCTTTGGGACACTTATCTCCGTTACCAAATCAACCACACGGGCCATGGCCATCAACCACTCAGCACCACCTGCTTGCTCCTCACGGTGACACATGCGGGTGGACCAGATGCCCTGCCCTTAAGGAGCACCTGCTGTAACGCTCGGAGAAGCCACCTCACTTTTTCTTAGTAAGTATGTATTTTTGTCGTCAGACTTCTGCAATGCACA